TACACATACAAAATAAAACATATTTTTGAGCACCAAATTTGAACACTTTTAAACACTTAGTTCTACCATCACTTGGTTCGTGCGCCCAATACAGTTCCAAAAATAGAAGAAAACTCCCGCTTAGACTGAATTAACGAAAATTATAAATCGTAGTACGCAAATTGATGAGAAAATTCTGAAATGCTTATTCATTACCGTGGAGTGCTATATTCGCGCGATATTTTTTTGCAATATATATTTTAAGTCGCGCAATGTAGATACTCGCAAAAATTATGTCGTTTACAATATCTAAACTCGTGAAAGTGAAAAATTCACCCTCACTCCGCCGTCATTATGATTGATCGTCATCACCATTATCATCTGCATTATGTGCTAGGGATGTACGAAAATTCGAATAATTCGCGATTAGTGTTTCCTATTTGATTCGATTCTAACACACTTTTAAGTTACTCGAATATTCGATAACTACAAATAATGCCTTCCGTATTCCTCGATTTCTCGTGCCAAGCCTCACCGCTTTGTCCCGAGCGCACTCCAATCAAGCTTCATATCCTTCGCCTCGGAGCGCACGCGTCAGGCTTCACTGCTTTGCACCGGCGTGCTAGGAGAAACGGATGAAGCGGAGAGCGGTCGGAAATTCATTCGATGGGCTCACAAATTCGGTCTTCTTTGGTTACGATTGCAGTCATTACAGTTAATCATATTTTTAGAAGACAGTACTGGAAAAAGAATCTCAACTTATATTCGAATAGATAAAGTATTCGTTGCTTTTTCTTACCACGTTACATTATGTTTTTACCCGGCTCGTCCTATCACCGACTTATTCTTATTGAACACGAGCATGTGAATATGTACTAATTGAATAAAACTGATCCTTTTCACATATGGGTGTGCCTCGAAAAATTCCAGATGACGCTTTTAAAGCACCAGTGCTCAGTTCGAATTAAATACGTAGTCAATTCTTAATACTCGTATTTGATTTGCGGTAAAATTGAATATTTCCACACCTCTGTTATTGGCATCAAAAGGGCCCGGCCCCCATTAACGCACTAGTGCGTACAATAAGTAACATGATGTGTCCCGAAAATCGCCGGGAACAAGGTAGGACCCTCAAGTGGTGAGCAATTTTTCCACGACTTTGTTGTAACTAGCAGTCTGTGCAAAGCAGGGCATGATGAACATCTTGTCATCGCTCCGCAGCCCATGATAATCTGACATCAATCGATAAAAACACCGAAGAACGAATCACGAGGCTTTCCTATACCGGGCGTTTCTGGGGAAAGAGAACCGTGTTGTTCGGTGCGCGTCAATAAACTATGCATCGTAGAAAGGTCAAACTCTGTGAGATTATGACGCTAGGGGTAGGGATATAACGCGAAAGTTTTGAGAACGAGACGTTACTTGGATCAAAAGATAACTGAGGAAAAACGATTTTTCTTTATGAGCGTATACGCTCACCAAGGCCTAATATTGTCAAAACAAGAGCTGGGATTGCGGACGCATGTGGCATTTTTATCGGTGAAAAACACCTGTCAGCAAGGACCAGAATACTGTTTTCTTTCTTTTTGACAAGCTTTCTTCGCTAAAAAATTTTGTAAGGGCTCCCAGAATGTCAATTCATGTTTTGACTATTTTTAGGCTTAGGTGAACGTCAGCTCATCGAACTTTCACGTTCTACCCATCCACTAGCGTCACACTCTCCCGGAGTTTCAGATTTCCCCGGTCACGGTTCTTCTCAGTACCGAACGACAGACTTCGAAATTTCGAATGGCATCAAAATTATCTTTCTGATTACTCTTAAAAGTGAACAAACAACACGAGGTTCTAAAGTATTAGATTAGAAGTTTATTCGTGAGTCGCAGTGTATCGCAAGTCTGCCGATGACGCACGAAAACGAAGGCCGTAGCGTTTGCACAGCGTTGTAATAATAGTTACCGCCGTTCTGCGTTCTATTTAGCCAATAAGATTGCGACATTAGCTAATAAGAACGTCAAAGAACGAATCGGGGAGCGTGAACATATTGGGACCATACCTCGGCAAACCTCACTCATGAGGGCCCTCACTCACCCTCACTCACCCTCATCTTCACAGGTGAGGTGAAGGTGAGTGAGTTTCTGAACCAGGAAAATTCATGAGTATGAGGGTGAGTGAGGGCCGTGAGGGCCGTGAGGACTGTGAGGGCGGTGAGGGCCGTGAGTGCGTGAGGGCCGTGAGGACGATGAAGGGTATGAGGGCCATGAGTGCGTGAGGGGTGTGATGGCGGTGAGGGCCGTGAGTGCGTGAGGGCCGTCAGTGCGGTGTGGGGTATGAGGGCCATGAGTGCGTGAGGAGCGTGAGGGCGGTGAGTGCCGTGAGGGCCATGAGTGCGGGGGGGGGGGGGGGGGAGTGTGAGGGCGGTGAGGGGTGTGAGGGCCATGAGTGCGTGAAGGCAGTGAGTGTCAAGAGAGGCGTGAGGGGCGTGAGGGCCGTGAGGGCGGTGAGTGCATGAGGGGTGTCAGGCCATGAGTGCGCGAGGGCGGTGAGTGCGTGAGGCCCCCTTCAGACGGAGCATCTTTCTCAGCAATTTTGGTGTAGATGGCGGGTTGTTCTCTAGCTTTCCCTAGATCGACACGAATTGCTGAGATGAGGTCCGGTTCGAAATAATCAAGCAACTCGGAGCGATTCGAAGACGTTTGAAGCGGGTGCATCCAATCAGGGACGCAAAATTTTCACTTGATACCTCGTGCCGGAGATGTTGACACCGAAAGACTTGGTTCTGGTTTGAAATCGATCGTTTCTGAAAATAAACTGTTTCAGAAAGGTACATTAGTATTCTCAACGAGATTTAAATGCATAAAAACACGTTTATAACGCGTAATTGTGTCTAAATAGTGCAAGAAAAATAAAATTTCATGATGATGATGGCAAATTGCAGAAATTGGTTGCTGCGTGTGATCGCGGGCGGCCCGTGTTGCTGGTGTTGCGGCGTCAAGTTTCTGGGCGAAATTGCCCCATCTGAAGTTGGCCTGAGTGGCGCGAGGGCCATGAGTGCGTGAGGGGCGTGAGGGCTGTGAGGGCCGCGAGGGCGGTGAGTGGCGTGAGGCCCATGAGTGCGTGAGGGCGGTGACTGCGTGAGGGGCGTGAGTGGCGTGAGGGCGGTGATTGGCGTGAGGGCTATGAGTGCGTGAGGGCGGTGAGGGGCGTGAGGGCCATGAGTGAGTGAGGGGCGTGAGGGCGGTGAGTGGCGTGAGGGCTATGAGTGCGTGAGGGCGGTGAATGGCGTGAGGGCGGTGAGTGGCGTGAGGGCTATGAGTGCGTGAGGGCCGTGAAAGGCGTGAGGGCCATCAGTGAGTGAGGGCGGTGAGTGGCGTGAGGGCCATGAGTGCGTGAGGGGCGTGAGGGCGGTGAGGGCGGTGGGTGCGTGAGGGGCGTGAGGGCCATGAGTGTGTGAAAGCCGTGAGGTTCAGTGAGGGTGAGTGAAGGGCTGAAGGTGAGTGTGACTGTGAGGATGAGGGTGATTGAGGGGCTGAAGGTGAGTGTAGCTGTGAGGGTGAGTGAGGGGCTTAGGTGAGTGTGGCTGTGAGGGTGAGGGTAAGTGAGGGCGACCTAAAATGCCGACCTCTGATTGGGACACGTCCTCCCAGCTAAAAATTATCATTAGATCCAATTGGAATTTTAACTGGTTTTAATTGGAACCAATCGGTTTTAGTGGGTTCCAATTGAAAGCACACTGGCCAATGGGTCTCACCAGTTGGAAAAAAATTTCCAGTTGGAAACTTAATGGGTTTCAAATGGTTCCCGTTGGTTCCCATTACAGTGACCAATTGGTTGTCCGAAAACCTAACTGGTACCAATTGGAAATTCCACTTGGAATCTAATGAGAATTTTCGACTGGGCTGCGTTTCTTCAAGGGATACTGCAACGAAATTTGAAAGATACCCGTCGTGTTCTCTTCCCAATTTGAATCGGCGGCTGTTCCCTTTGAATCGGGCGGAAACTTCGCCACCTAGCCAAATGTGTTTCACCTTTTTTTTTTTTTTTTAAGACTTAATTATGTTTAAACTAATTTAATCCTCTTGCAGTCTCTTGAACGTAGCCACCAGCTACTGAGCTCTACTTAATTGAAAAGCTTTATAACGCTATCTCCCGATAGACGCAGCAAGTAGACGATGCACTCAGTCGAAAGCAGGCGACCTGCTCGTCTACACGCTGCGTTTACTCTCACTTCTGACGTTATGAATTGGTGGAAAGTTCTCCGAGCCGGGGCGGCCGAACTCGCTGACAGCAGCAGACCACCAACACGTGGGGACGCCAGAGTTCAGCCTTTTAGGGCGCGTAGTGCATCGCTGAGCACACCGCGGCGCGCTAGTAGCCTATATATGCGGAGCGCAAATTGGTCTGCTTCTTGAGCAGGGGTAGCGGTGACGTCAGAACGCCGAGCTCTGAATGGCTCTGATTCGAAGGATAGGGGGTAAACCTCAAGACAGCTGGCATTGAGGTCTACCCACTATCCCTTCATCAGAGCCAATCGGAGCTCCGCGTTCTGACGTGAGTGCTATATGTCGTGGCTATGCAGTTTTCCTTGTATCATTTTCACTAACAAAACTTTAGTTGCGAGTACAGTTTCGTCCTGTTGTGTATGCTTCTTCACTTCGTCTTCACTGTTTCAGCAGTTTTCATCACGTACAGACAAACATGCACTCGCATGCACTGAAGACTAAGACACAGTGCGAGATATTGTCACTGGAGCCACCTTATAATCTCGCATTAGATAAAACTCTGAAAAAACGGTAGAAGCATGTTTTTCGAGATATGCCCATTTTTTCAAGACAGGAAAGAGATTGTAGACATTGAAATGACACGTTGGGTTTATCAAGCTGCAAGAAAACACTTGACTAAACTTGCTATCGTTGCTTCTCGAGTTCAGCAGAGAATTACAGCACAAAAAGTCATTTGTTCTGCATATCTTGGCATAAAGGCAAGTACATTTGTGGGTTGACAGAAAAAAGCTTTTCAGAGTGTAAACCTAAATTAATGCTTTTATTTAGACACTGAAAACTCGATGTACATCAGCCGCATGCCAGAAGAAAAAAAAATTGAAGGAACAACTTGCAACTGTTGATGCACATCCAACACCGAAATACTTGATGCTACTTGGTAGTAAGCGTGCTACTAATAATGCTCCCTTTGAAACGAACCACATTATCGGCACTGCAGAGAGCACAGAAAGATCACCGCCTAAAACATACATTTAATTTGTATATGCAAACACTCAGGTATATAGGCATATCAAAATACTTGTATTGAAATATGCAAATAGCCGCAATGATTGTCGAACTTTGGTATGTACTATTCCTCTACGGCTTCGATGCCCAAAGTCAGCTTCGATTCACACTTCATAAATATAGCTCAGACAAGCCTCACTGGGTTTGTTGATGGAATGGCAAGACATGCAAGTGCTCAGACGATCTTGCGTTCAATTCAAAACATAAAGTACTAATGCTCAAAAGGACAAGAAAACAAGTAAGAAAATTTGATATCCCAAAATCTCCGACGGTGCCAGAATAGCTCCGTAAAACAAAAAAAGCTTTCACACAGTTAAAAATGAAACTAGCCAAGATGGTAATGCTCTTTCAGGATCTAGAAACTCGTCAAAATGATCTCTTCCAGATACCACCTCTATTGGATAGACCATTCACAGCTGTCCTCTTGGAATGCTTAGCCACATTTGCTGACGTAACAAATCATACATCACTAATGCTACATTCGCGGCTAACTTATGCGAGCTAGTAAAACCCCATGTAACTTTTCCATAATCACTTGCAATTTGAGCAGCAGCCAACATGTTGATTGTCATTTTACTGGATACAACTACAAACACTTCAACATCTTCATCTGTTGGGTATATACATATGTACATCTTCAAAAAGTATTGCACTGTCTATTGCAAAATGACCTACAACACTTACCTACATGCTACTCAAAAGAGGCAAGTCAGCATATGCAAGAAGCACTGCACAGCATAGGCAGGACACAAACAAACACCTAGCCATACAGTTACTTGCACACACAAGGACAAACGGGAAAACATGCTCTTCGTATATAGTACAATGATTGTCATTTCAGTTTCAACAGTAACGGCCTTCCACATTCGAAAGGTCAAGCTCCAACAGTATATGAAAATGTCTTCCCATTCACACAAACATTTAAATCAATACACTTCCATTGCACACAAGAGTGTGAACATAGCCATGGATTGAAGAATTTAACGCAAACGCTCAAAAAATGTGCTGTAAAATCTGTGATTTCCCCAAACAAGCTGCAACAACTGCTTGAAAAACAGTACCAAAAGAACACCTCGAAAGTGGAAAAACAACCCAAACACAATTATACACACATTCACACACACTGTAGAGGTTGGAAAAATCAGTGAAACAAGGACAGCACTTGCACCGAAATCCAAGGTACAAGCATGGCTGTGACAAGGTTTGAGATCAGGTTAACGGAATGATTGTCGAGTAGATTGATTCCGGAGACGTGCTTCACTCCCGGCCCTGGTTCTTCCACTATCCGTCCACTTGAAGTGTCCAACCCTGCACAAACAACCCAAGCAAGTCTCCATGTTCACACTTATATGGCAACTTTTTTGCATTTAAAGGGCATAAAAAATGCCTAACAATTCATGGGGTGCGTCCAGAAAGGGAGTACGGTTTGTGCATAAGGCCCATGAGAGAATTAATTTCTGTCACGCATTGGCAGTTATGTTGCCTCGTGTGTCATACTTTGTTTCACCATAAATAAGAAAGCAGTCCAGATACACAATCATAAACACACCGATTGAAAGCACAAAAATCATGGCAAACGCCCTGCACTTGATCGGTTTAGAGAGTGGTAAGATATGCACTGAAAGATAATTAAGTTATTTTTTAAGATGCCCAGCAAGTTCCTAACTGAAGCCATACCTTTAAATTTACTAACTAAAAGTTGATTACTAAAGAGTAATTATTGACCTAACTGTATACCAAATGTGATTAATTTTCCTGAATTAGTAGAAACCAATATGACATAAACCTCTTTTTCTGTGGGATGCATAGTTTATACAGGAATGATTTGGGCGACAATTCCAGGAAATTCCCTGCATACCAACATGATTGTGAAACCCCTGAAGGTTAAGATATGCCTAAATGTTTAAAACTAAAACCAGCATGCATGTTTCTCTTCACATCATATTTGCAATTGATTACTTCCTTAAATGGCACAATTTAGTTAATCATATGTTCCGATCCTTTATGCTAGTGCATTTATAAGGGAAACTCGGAAAGTGACTACATTGGTGCACAAGTTCTGCAAGAGTATTCCATTCCAAGTTGCATTTGTGTTCCCCCATTCATTAGTCACACCTTGACGCCATTTTGTAAAGCTGGTTATTTTTTAAGTTCGTGCTTAGCAATAAAAATAGATAGAACGACTTGCTGACTCTGATGTCTGGTCTAGGATGAGATTTCTGGGCGCGATAAATGTTTGACAATCCAGATTTATGAGTACAAAAATCTTATAGTGTGTATTCATATATATCACATATTTATAAAATGTAGACGAAATGCAATGAGTGAGGGAATGATGTGGAAATCATTGTCAATGTTTAATCGAGGGTGGCGGAGCATTCATAATGAACTCTGTAGGCCACTTCTGGTGAGAAACAAATTGGTGGAGGAAGTACAAATAAAAAAAAATTCTGGATAACTGATACTTTCCTACTTCTGATCTTGTAACACACATTTTATAATCTCCAAAATTATTACTTAATGAAAGTGTTACATAACACATTAGCAGCACAAAGTGTTTCACAATGGAGGCCGAAGATGCTGGCTCAGGATTCAGGCAGATTCTATGGGGAAGTTATCAAAAAGCTTTTGACATGATAGGGGATTATATCGAAAGACAGATTAAGGCATCCAGAATTTATTAGAAATAAAGCAACTCCCAAACAATGTTGTGGGAGTTTTTTTATTATTTAAAAATGGTACTTACATTCTGGACATACTCTGTACAAATGAGAAATGTTTTATAAATACTCTTTTTTCAGCTCCTGCCCATAACCTAAATATTAGTGCACAAATAAACAATCCTGCAACTTTTCTGTGTAAGAGCTAGACCCTAGAAAAAAAAAACCTAAAACACTTCACAAAAAAACAACTAAGGAACAAATATTATAAGACAATTCAAATATGTGACAGTGCAAGCATAACATAAGCATAAAACTACCCAAACTTATGCATGAAAAAAAAAAAAACTATTTCAGCTTGTTTTAATTTAAAAAAATGAATCAAACACACTTAGTTTTATATTAATCAGAATTTAAAACTAGTTCAACACAAGCCATTCTTCAAAATTAAACTTGCACAAAATGCTTTTTAACTAAATGGAACTACACAACAACCTGACGCTTGCAAAACAAAACAAAAAGAAAATCAGCTGCAAGCTGGAGAACCTGATAAGATAGCCACCAAAAATAGCCCCAAAGACTCCCAGACATTCTCAGATAACGCCTGAATATTACTGTGTACCCCTTTCCCAAGCCAAGCTTATCAAGGAAAGATAATGCAACAAGTGTCTGGTGCCAACTGCTTTCAATCCTCAGACCCACACAAGACTTCTGCCTAAAAGCAAGTTTGCTATAGGTCAGTGACACGTACCCCGGGCTGCCACAGACTAAAATGCCCTAGACACTACATATCATGTCAAGGCAATAAGAAGCAACGTCAACAAGAGGCAGTGTGGAAATGCGATCAAGCTATCTTGAAGGATTCTCCAGCTAACAGATCTGCACTCAGAGCCATAATCTCTTTTTGGGGTGGCTTAACCAAGCTGCTTTTATGCTCGTGTCCCAAAATATTGTGCACAACCAAATATACATCTGAGGAAGGAAGTGGAAGTGAAAACATTTCGTTCTCTCAAACTTCCTTCCGAGAGCAAGCATTTGCAAGGGTTGAAGTTGTTAAAGGGACACTGATGACCCCCAAAATTTGTTTATTTTTTGCCAGGCGATTCATTACGGTGTCTGAAGACTATACCCAATCAGTATTATGCTAAGGCATCACATATTTTTAATAAAGTCGAAAAACGCAACTGCTCAAAACCAAAACTGGAGTGGGGAGGAAGAAGAAACATAGAGGAGGATAGAGTTGGCAAAAGTCACATGACTGTGCAGCTTTTTTTTTTTTTTTTTTTTTTTCAATCACCGCATTTGCAATATTTAGAAGCCACAAAAAATGGATCTCCTATTTCTTCACTTTATTTTTAATATTGAATGTGTGCCTTTGATGACCCACGACTGAGTACATTTGGTGGTTGGGCCCAAACTTTAGAAAATGGCACGTGACCACAAAGAAGTGAGCGCAACTCAATCCAGCAAATTCTTGATAGGTAGTTTCCGGGCAGAAAGAAAACGAATTTTGAGCCGAAAATTGTGTTCTGGGTAGTTGGGCTCTCATATGTCATGTACAAATAAAAAACTTGGCGGGCTTCAATACCCTTTCAGTGTCCCTTTAACAGGCTATCACCGCTGCAAACATGTTTGCATGGTGATATATACAAAGCCCCTCCTAAACAAAGCCCTTCCGGCTCGCACATATCTTTTTAAAAGATTTTGGTGCATAAATCTTTTGCCATGGAATAATTCTGGCAATGTTATAGACGACTATTTCTCGAAAATTGTGCAAACTCACCCGAATACTGGAGAGTGGCGCCGAGGAAGGAGTCGATGAGAGAGCCCAGAGAGCCCGCCAATGCCCCCACGACGACAAGAGCGCCCTGGGTGGGGCTCGTACGCAGCGTGGTGGAGCCTACGCACACCACCAGGGACAGGTAGTAGACCAGCCCGAGCAAGGCGCCCGCCAGGCCGCTGAAGAACGTTCCCGCCACGGACACCCCTCCGTTTGTGCCTGCACACAGAAGAGAAGACTTCGAGTTTCCGTAAGTTGCCAAAAAATGCATTAAAAAATATTTGGCACCAAAGGCGCTGAGACTATACAGTGCTTCTTTTGAAACTGAGCTCTGATAGGTGAAAGTGTTGAACGAGTGTAACTTTAAACCTGTGGAATAGTTTTATCCAATGTTCCATTATTGTTACAACACGTCCACAAAAAAAGAAAAGTACAGTTTTTTGCATTGCAAAAAATCATTATGCATCGCCGAACTCGTCTCCTCCGAAATGCAGCGCTGACAGACTGAACCAAATGCCGTATTTGCAAAAAAGACAATTATCCGACTCAAAAGTTTTAATAGATTCTCTGAAAATCTCAATGACAAAACGGGGCCAGTTCCCGACAGTGGACACCATCCAACATCACGTATTCGTGGGCTTCATCGACCGCCATTTTCCCATTGAAAATTTTCTAAAAACACTTACAAACTCAGTGATGTGATATATCAGAGTCGTTTTGGAGCACCTTTTGGAGCAGCCAAAGATTCATTTTGTAGCACCAAAAAGATCTTTTGGAGATTAAGCCCACACTTCATCTTCATTTATACCACTGCAAATATCCTGTTAGGGTTTATTTAGGATTACTTTTTAATTGTTTATTAGGTTAAGGTAGTGGTTCACAACTACTGATGTTTTGCAGACCCCTTGTGTATTCGCAAAGATGGTGGAACACCCCGTTCAAACTGACGGAAAGATAAAGGTATAGGTTAATTATGATTATGATTGAATAAATGGACATAACTAAGGGCTAGTGTAAAATGGACTTCATTGACATACACACCAGAAGACATTGACGTACACACCGCAAAACTCACCCGAAAATAGGAATGTTTTTTCTCAATCTGGGAAAAGGCAACTTTTATTGCCAGGCTTGACTGACGAGCCAGGGCTTTGCGGACCACTAGAATCCCTTCAGGGACCCCAAAAGGCCCGCGGATCCCGATTTGAGGACCACTGCGTTAAGGTATTGGCTTGTCCAACCAGAAGGCAATGTCTGTTTTGCCTTTTCACTTATGTACAACTCTTTGTTAGCATTGATTGCACAGCAGGAGTTATTCCTTCAAACGCAGAACTAGCTATTTAGTTGCAGGCAGAAGCACCAGACACGGTAACAAGATGATGATTAATGAAGGACAGCACAAACTGATGTGAATGGTTATTTCAGGTACGAAATTTCACTGAAATATTGCTAGAATATAATTATTTTGAGCAGATAAATTGACGTTTTGTTTAAGTTCTAGAGGCTGTAATAAACTGCAATTCTTCATTCAGACAAAAAAACAAAGCTCTTGTCATTTGATTATGAACATCAATTACATTTTATATGCAGAACATCATAACAATAATCGGAATGCAATCAATTTATGTCTTTTTATACACATTCCTGCTGAACTCACTAAGGTTCTTCCCAAGCTTCCATCCACTGCTCCTCTAATTTATTCCCACTTACATAAAATTAATAACTAAACCAAAAAAAGTTGGCATTAAGAAAACCTAGAGAACAGCCCAGTATCCTTGCCAAATCTCAAATTAGAAAACGACAATTAAAAGACTGCAGGCTATCATTTATTCTATCCTCAGTTTTATTCAGAAATTGTGTGTAATGCCCTCCTCTGGAGAAGTCCTTTTCCCTTAGCACGTGAGTGTGAAGCAAGCAAGACACGCAAATATGCAATGCTTTTTGTGCTTTTGTCGCTTCACTGCAGTCCACTAATGCGCAATGAGAAGCGCACTCAACGAAATAAAACACTGCGACTTGCCTCTTTTTTTCTCAGAAAAAGGGGTGAGTTGCAATGTTCGGTTGCGTTTTTGAGGGCGAGAAAGGTCACATGCAATTGTAAATTTGGGTTTTGTATGATGCTTAGGGTGTGTAGGTTGAGGTTGCACCATAAAAAGACTATCTCAAATTACGAACCAATGTTAGCCTTAAGCAAAGGTGCCAGAAATGCGGTACTTTGTTTCTAGATTTATGCATTCTGAAACAAAAATACTTGAAGATTCATTTCCAGAAAACATTTCTTTATTTAGTTAACAAAATATGACTAAATGAAGGGGTTTTATGAGTGTATAAAAACAATTTTGTAAAACAAAGTAGGAGTCAAGTTAGATACGTTTGTGGTTGCCCCCTTCGTTTGCTTGTAGCAGCCTCAAGTTATATATAGATATTGTACATCAGCTTGCCTCCATTTTTACACTTCCTAAGCCAATGCAAGTTTCCTATAAAATATTTTTTCCACTTCCTTGCCCTTGTCACAATAACTTCCTCCCTCTTCAGAGGTCACATATAAGACATTTTGAGTATGCATAGAGGTATTCTTAAGTCACTTGGACAACAAATGAAAATAGTTCAACCCAAGGTCAGTTCAAACTGTTATTGACACAAAATTGGCAAAACCCAAAGAATATGAAAACAACCCTTCAAACTCTTGTCACAACTAACTGGTTTGGGCATCTTTTCATATTTTATACTTTGCTATGTTGGATCACAGAAGGCTAGTAGTATAAAGAAACTAATAAAAAACCAAAAAAAGACATTGTCATTATATAGTATGGGCAAAAAAGTTTAACTCTACTCTACGTCAATACACAGTGGAAGGGGCGACATATTGGCATAAAGAAACAATACAGTGCTCAGCTGATCTCAAGTACCTGGAAAAAGAAAACACTCAAGATTGTCTCATTCAGAGAGGCAGCCAATCCATATCCAATCACTCAATCTTCCCGTTCTTTGTTTTCTTCATATTTTTTTGACATATTTGCACTATAGCAGTCACTTATTTTGGTAAATATGACTTGAATTTTCTACGATTCCTAGCAAGCAACTATTACAGCTCTCACTCCTTAAATATTTTCACGTACAATAAAACCTCGTTATAACAAAACGGGATATAACAAACTAATGGATATAACAAAGCAATTATAATTCCCCTTGCTTGCTAATAGTGGGAAGAAATGGACATTGGCTATAACAAACTAATGGTTATAACGAAATAATTACGACCGCTCCTTCAACTTTGTTATAACGAGGTTTTACTGTATAACAGGTGACAAAGTGAAGCTAAAACTGAGGAAAATAAGAGTTTAATGGACCGAACTTGTGCCCAAACCCAGCATACTTTGGATGCTGGGGTACGAGTGAGGAATTCTAGGTACCGCATTTACCCAATACTAATGTGCCCTCCAATGCAGAGCTCAAATTGGTCTGCTTCTGAGGTTTGCTTACTATCCTTCAATCAGAGCCGATCAGAGCTCAGCGTTCTGAAGTCGCCGTAACCCCTGCAAAAAAAGCAGACGAACTTGCGCTCTGCATTCTAATGTTCACACAGTTTCTATACCCAAGAAGTGAAACTTCAACATGCCCCCGACGTCAGTTTTGTATCCAAGTCTAGCGTGAAGGAAGTTTTTAGGTACAGTTTTCTATATAAAAAACAAGGTTGGCGTTAGAATCGGCTGACTACGATAAGTTGCCGAGTAAAAGAAAAGCTCTCAAGAAATAGTGACGACACAACAGCCAGCGGCAGCGCGTCCTCTATTCGTGATCGGTTTTTTACAGGCAGTTGCAACGCAGAACTATCACACTCAAACACAAAAGGGCGGTCCCACGGAACGCCTCTTCTTTTTCGGCAAGCCGCATTCCACCACGTCGACAAACAGCGTCCGCTATTTTCGCCTTTTGTTTACGTGCGGACGCTTAGTTTCTGCCATCAATTTAGGTGTCGGTGTAACACCAGAGCGTCACCAGTGGTTTTGTCGACGACGGAACTCGGCATGTATGATCGGGGATGTATTTGGGATCGCTTGAGTCCGAGTTTGTTTCAATTTGTTTCCTTTCGGAGTCGCCCGGGCGGTATCTACCTTGTGGCCGCCGACGGGTCGATGCCTTGTCTTAAGTCCGTCCGAATTAAGACAGGTACGTATAAAAATCGAGCATCGGTCGATGCTCCTTCTTGTTGCAAACTACACCAAAAAACAAAACAAATCGCGACGGAAAAAAAACTCAGCCGAGCTGGGAAACACTGGCTTCATGCATAGAAGGACATAAGGTGAAAGTATCAACGGTCCGGTGAGATTTAGTTAGAAGTATGTCATATTCGGAGAGCAAGTCAGCTGCTTCTTGCGCAGGGGTTGTGGTGATGCAGAATGACGCTGAGCTATGATTGGGCTTGATTGAAAGGACAGAGGGTATAGATTTAAATGCTAGATGCCTTGAGGCCTGCCCACTATTTTTTTTCTCCAATCGGCCAATAAGAGTCTGGAGTTTTGACAATTTCGCAACCCCTGTGCAAGAAGCAGACAAACTTGCGCTCCACATATTGCCCCATTAAGTTACTGGGTAAATACCCGATTGGAGTGTAAAGCAGACCATGCTCTGAAGCAAGGAATGCGGCTCCCTACCCTCTGGCAGCAAGGGGAGTGTGACTCACCCCTGGGTACTCTCTCGAGGGTGGTGATGAGGAAAGGGTCACCGCTGGACCAGACGCTGCCCAGCTCAGAGGCCCATGTGTCGCCGCAGCTTTCGGCCATGGCGCTCAGCACTGCCAGGGACAGCATGGCGCACTGCCAGTTCCGGCTGGGGTCCACCAGCTTCTCCCCCATCCCACACTCAAGCATGTAGAGCAGGGCAAACTCTGCGGCTATGCCTCCATTGCACAGCACCTGCACCCAGTTTCGCTGGCCACCTGCGCACGAACGACGTCGTGCCCTTCGGTCAAGTTTGCCACGAAGTCTGGCAACAAAGGAATGAAGTGCGGCTGATGGCTCACTAGGTAGACCACAAGTTTGTCTGCTTCTTGCGCAAGGGTTGCAGTGACACCAGAACGCCGAGCTCCGATTGGCTAGACTGGAAGGATAGTGGGTAGACCCCAAGGACACTAGCACTGAGATCTACCCACTATCTTTCCAAGTCGAAACTTGATCTTCTGACGTCACTGCAATGCCAATGCAAGAAGCAGACAAACTTGCACCCCGCATAGGAAAACACCGGCAGGTGAAGTCGAAGCGGTGTTCGAACGCGACTCCCAAGAGTGTGGTCTGGGTGACATGGGGGAGGGAGGGTGCCACAGGCTGCGAGGGTGTAGGTGTGCAAGGGTTCAGCCGAGGACAGGCTGATAGTCATGCATACACTTTTTGAAGTGTTTAGTGGCAGGTTGTGTGCCTCACACCACCTGTGGCATTCACCGAGGTTCCTTCGAAGGGAGGTGGATGCCTCCATTGATGTCCCGGGTTGAAGGAGTGAGAGGTCATCTGCATGTAGTATTGCCTTTGATCTGAGTCCATCGGCGACGTCGTTCACGTAAATCGGGAAGGGCATAGGGCTTACACTGCCCCGAGGCACACCGGTAAGCACATGCGCAAGGTGGCAAGAGGTGACTGTGGAAGGCATATATATATATATAGTCCCGATTAGTTGCATATACTATCATGCTCACAAGTTCTGTTATCGATCAGCTTTTGTACTTAAGATACCCACCCTCCTTGTGGTCGGCTTCAAATTTTCGTTTTTGGCTGGACCTGAACTTCGTTGCTTTTGAAGAGGACACGAAAAAAACGAGCAGCACGGCTTGAAAGCAGTAACTGCTCAGCGTAAGGACAAACCCAAGAATGAGACCTGCAAATAAAGGAAATAACGAAGAAATGTAACCAATAAAATTAATTCATTGGTTACATTTTTTTATTTTTATTGGTTAAATTAACATTTATGCGGAGCACAAACTTGTCTGCCTGTTGCACGGGGGTTGCGATGATGCCAGAATGCCTAGCTCTTATTGGCTGGTCTAGCATTAAGGTCTAACCCTCTCCTTCCAATCAAATCCAATAGAACAAGGCGCCGTTCTGACGTCACCGCAACCCCTGCGCAAGAAGCAGACGATTTACTTTCCGCATTGCTTACATTTATATTACATACCGCAACATCAACCCCTCCTCGTTTACAAATTTCATTTAAACCATCATCAGTTTAGAAATTTTAAGAAAATACGGACGCGTGTAGTTATACTTAAGGAAATATTCTTACCGGAAAGTGCTCCCGAAACGTCCAAGCTTTTTTTTCTGTAGCCCCATGTCGCGATGAGAAGTGGAATAAAAACAGAGACGAAGAAACGGAGCGGGGTGGGCGGAGCGATATCTGAAAAAATGAACGACTGCAAGTTATACACGCATACGTATACGTAAGCTCGATGAACGCGGCCTTTCTTCATTTAATGAGCGAGAAAATAACTGCAGCCGGATTCAGCACCTGAGGCTCGAGGATAACTCGGGCAGCACTCACCTTCGGAATACCAAGATGAAACCACCGACACCGTCCAAAACAGTAGAGAAAGGGGTAGTGTCACCGCAAGCAGGCTTACTAAAAGCATTATTTTTATAAAAACAAATTAAAAAATAAACGAACCTAAAGGTGAGTTACAGACAGCTCTTTCTTTCTCATCAATAACACAACATTACGTAACGAAAACGAAGACGCGGCTCACGACTACTGACAACAAAACAAATCCGCGGGAACAAAACCACGAAACCCGAACCCCGTTAGCTTCCGAAACTTTTTATAAACTGCAGTTACCCGGAAACGGAACTCGGCGTAGGTGTGGTAAGCTTGCGCCACCTACCCTCCTCTGCTACTGCTGCCACCTATCCAACAAATTTGGCAAAGTTTCACTATTCGTTGTTCAAGTTGGTCAAGTCGTATGCTGTGGTCAGGTCGAGACTGGAGTCGTGGTTCGTGCGTCAATAAAATGAAGTTCGTCTTGTAAGCTCGAACTCACGGTTTATATAATATAAATACGGTATTTTATTTAGACTCGCTAAGGCACTGGGTTTACTGACAAAATCGCACATTCTTTGGAGCGTTCGACGATCTGTCAACATGGACGAAATCGCCAAGCTTGAGTACCTGTCTCTTGTTTCCAAAATATGCACGGAGTTGGACAACCATCTAGGAATAAACGACAAAGACATGGGTAAGTACGTGTTCCCGAGCTCGTGATCCTTATGGTTATTTCATTTCAATAGCTTGTAGCCTACATGGATTTCTTGGACGACGTGCCTGAGGCTCCTAGCTGTGTACTGTTGTATCACATTTCCGACGACAACCAAGGTGGTAATCTGTGCAGAGGGCGAATTATAAAATCTTGTCTTTCAAATAATACTTTCAGCCGAGTTTATTATTGACCTGGCAGACAAGAACAACACGTTTGAGTCCTTCAAGAAGGCTCTGGAAGAGAACGAGGCGGAGTTTTCGGTAAGTGCGTTTCTCCGTTTTGTCCCCCTAGCATGCAGTTGATCGCACCCGTACTACGCAGCCCTGTTGATAAGTACGCAGACCAAGCCAAACTTCCATAGTCTTTACACTGCGAGAGATTCCCAAGTTTGATGGCATATCATATTGGTTAGATTTCATTTTGCTTGGACATCTTCAGATGTAGAAGTCTTCATGTATTGGATATCATGATGTTGGCTTACATTAACAGAGATCTCAGTAATCATTGGAGTTATCTTCTTAGATGTGGGCATGCCGTTTGCCTCATGATCATTATAACAATGTTGCGAAAATGCGTAAACAAGTTGGAGATCCACATAACACTAGCATCATCCTCTGCCTATAACCGCGTCCTCTTATGCCGGTTACTTCTGAGAATGACAAACAGTGCTTGGCCTGTGTCTGTCTTCCATTTACACATATTTTTCTCATTGCCAGCCTTTGGGGATGACTAAGAAAACTAGCCCGCTTTTTTATTTTAATTCAGAAAGTTATTTATTGGATAAGTATTGGAATTAGCGCTCGGTTGGCATTGGTTAGCCCGAATTATGCTTCTTCAATCACACTAAGACAAATGGCCATTTTAATTATGTTGTGTCCCTTATAGGATTCATTCACGGCAAATCTGCTGCGTATCATTCAGCACATGAGGCCCAAGAAACATACAAGCTCTCTACCTAAAGAAGGTTTTGAAGAAAAGCCCAGGACAGAGCTGGACATCAAGCGCGAGCGTTTCCCATTTCTAGCACTACCGAATGACCCAAAAGCACGGGTAAGTTGCTCGTACTTTTACTATTGTCTTCGACAAGCCTGCAGCAGTAGATCTTTTTGATTCATTGCTTCCTTCAGTTGTGCTCTGTTTCAGTGCCAGCTTGCTACCTTCCATGGTTCTCAGTTTCAGCCAAAGAACTGTCTAAGCCGACACGCTTTCACCGACAGTAGTTCCTCCAAGGGGGCCCTGTCTCCACCTGAATGTAATAAACCTGACAAGTGCTTGTATAACATGAGTGGGGATGCAAGGATGCCAGACACCCATTGGAGCCAACTACCTTTACATTGTCTAAACATACACACAACAAAACTACTTTGCATAACGTGCAATAATACTTGTTGTGACCGATTCTTTTTGCAGACATTACTAGAAGAGGATGTGAAAGTTGCGTCGGATGCCCTCGCAGAACTAGAAGCTCTAGCGCCGGGTGCCAGGTACGTTCCTAGTGTGCGCCCAGGGTGATCAGAAATTCGAAACACGTATTCGTGATTTCTGCAGTTTGTAATTGTGCTCTGTGTATATTTATACGGCTGGATTTGTTTGTGTTGGATTGTGCAGGAAAAAAGACTCAGAAGTGGACAAGTCAAGCAGCAGGACTGAACGATCAAATGACAAGCATAGCAGGTATGCTGTCCCATAGTGAAAACCAGGGTAGGAGGGCTTGCTTTTCGACACTTTTGCAGCCGCAGCCACCAACAGTCAATGGGCGACTGATTTTCAGTATCTTGGCACAGTGTGGAGGGGTGTTAGCTTTACTTTTATCTACATCAGTTACACATCCTGTATTGCAGATGTGATGTTTACATCCTAAGTTTAAATTTCAAATTTTCTAAAATCCACGGTTGGAGGGAGATAGGTTTTGTATTCCTGATCATCCATAGTTGCGTATAAAATTGAACAATGCGCTAAAAACCAAAATATTAGATATCTCGCGAATCATGGCTTCCACCGACGTAAAAACGCCGTGCCTCGCTCCCTGTAAAAACGAGTCTGGATAGAATAGTCTAAACTCTAGACCAGTACGATGACTAGCACAATCGTTCGTCTAAGTCGGCTTCTGTCGTGACCCAAAAATGCAGCGACATTGGCCAGTCATCCTGAGGGGACGTCGACGAGAAGTGTGGATTCACTCAAAAGGTGGTTCGTTTCCAACTGTTGAGAAGTACTCGATTCGGGACAACTTCCAGGTCCTCCAGGCGTCGCAGATCAAAGTCTCGTTCAAGGAGCCCCGTCCACCGGTCATCGAGGCGTCGCTCCAGGTCTCGAACCAAGAGCCCCTACTCCCGGCGCTACTCCAGTCGCCGGTCCCGCAGTCGTAGTCGCGACCGGGACCGCCGCCGATCTCACTCCAAGGATCGGCACCAGGCCTCTGGTAGTGGCAGCAGCAGCAGCCACAAGGACCGCAACGCGCCTCCCGTGTCTCCTGACCCCGTGGTTGGACAGGTGGGTGTGGCGGTTCGTCGGAGGTCGGCAGTTCGAAGACCACGAAGCTTGTGGCTCTTGGTGCATTTTAGTGTGAACTACTCGCTCATTAAGATCCTCCTTGTCCTTTGATATTTGACTTGGAATGTCTCCTTTGAGATCGAAAACAGTACTTGCGTGTCATGGAAAGGTATACTAGCCTAGGTAACATCGTTAAAAGACGGGGAATGTTTCGTATTTCTTTGTATCGTGGTAGTAAAGGCTTCGACGAACCCAGTTAAAATCCCTCTGGAGTGAATGCCAGATTCACTCCAAAGGGCCTTGTTACATAAACAAGCTGCCCAGCTTCCACTAAGACAATTTAAAATTGTATAAGATAACTTGGGAAAAAAAAAAGTAATATTGTTTTCATGCATGCTCTTATAGACAATCAACATTTATATATTAATACTTCGTTGCTTTCTTTTTTTGTGTGTATCAGATCTACAACGGGAAGGTGACCAACATTATGCAGTTTGGCTGTTTCGTTCAGCTGGAAGGTCTACCCAGACGTTGGGAAGGCCTAGTTCATATCTCTCAGGTATGTGCAAATGTTGTATCCATATGTGTGTATTATACTTGGTTTGTTCATGAGTAGTGACCAACACCTCAGATAATGCCTACCATATGTACTATTATTATTTAAGCCCCTTGGTTCTACTTGTAAGCTTGGGAAATGCGAAATTCCGTGCAGTAATGCTCTGGCGACTCAAAATTAAAACTGTCTACTATATCTCAAGCAAATAGACCAAGTGTTGTTTGGCTCTTAGATTGCCTAGAATAACATAAGTTATCAGAGTTTCTAATGTTTACCAGTATTCAAGGAACAGTTGCAGTGTTTTGCACGTTTATTAGTGTTTATTTATTTATTTATTTATTTTTGCTGCTCGCACTCATCATAGTCCCTGTTTAGGGATTGATATTCTCATTAAATAAATAAATAAATAAAAAGCTGGCATTCAACATTGCCTTGTTATACTAGAATGCAATAGTGGTAACTGCTTTTCCTAAGCTCTTTTCGAGTACTATAGTAGTGAAACAATTTAGAAGCGTGGTTTTTAATGACCAGGCCAACCGCATCGTGCATAGATCGGCGTGACATCCAAGCTCGCACACCCTTGAGAATCTGGACCAGTATAGAGGCTGCCAGATCGTAAAAAAGTGTGGCGTTTGCACTCTGCCAAAACAATGTCTTGATTAAGTTTTTATCAAGATAGTTTATTTGATTTTCATCCTTGTCTCGCTGACCTAACAGTGGTTGGTTTGTGTTCCAGTTGCGGAGGGAGGGCCGTATCACCAACGTCGGAGACGTAGTTGCCAGAGGCCAGCGCGTCAAGGTGAAGGTCCTGTCGTTCACGGGACAGAAGACCAGCCTTTCCATGAAGGTATAACCTCTCTTGAATTGTGCCTGGCCTTCGCTTCTGACTGGTCACTGCTTGAAAAGTCAACATCCTAAGGCAGCTGATGCTCTTCACAGTGGTTATGGCACGATTATGTGTTGGTACTGCCCACTCTGAAGCCAACCCGCCAGATCTCTTGCAGGTTTTAAACTCTCTTCCCTACTATGCCCGCAGTTATTTGAATGTGAGAAAATAGGACCTTTTAATGAACTTTAGGAAGTCAGGTAACCCACAGCAGACTCAAAATATACTTTTATGAGGGCTGAATGATGAGTTCTTGGATTCGGCTTTGCTGGTCTGTGGCTATGGACAGGGGTAAAAAAATTTCTACTTTCCCTCTTTTCAAACTGCGGGTCGGCCTTGGAAATGTCTACAATCTTTACGCAGTGCTCGTTGGCACTGGCAAATCAATCTTTTAATGCAGAATGTCTTATGGGGCTGGTTTCAACCTTTTCAGCATTATATTTTGTTATCAAAGAGCGTAAACTGGGGAAAATACCATATATTGCTCGGTTCATATATTCAATTCGTGCCACTCGACCAGCGCACCACTGCACGGTTGTTACCGAAGGTGGGCAGTGAGAACCCCAGCGAAACTAAACCACTTTGCATGCATTGGTATGCATTGAAGTCCAAGCAGTGCAGTTGTGCTGGGTTGACAGCATGAGCTGCTG